GACTTCATTAAACCAATTTTATTTAGGCCAATTATTTTTAAAAGACTAATCAGGCGTAACCAGCGTACGATTTCTGGATAAGGGAATTGGGGTTTACGTCGGGCCCGTTTAGAAGGCGACGCCCGGAAAACCGGGGCCTCTTTTAACCTACAATTTCTAATTTATTTTAATTTAGAAAAGCCAATAATTTATTTATACAAACCCAACCCGAGTAAATCGAACCGAGTTCCAATGTGAAAAATTATTTAATCGTCCCAAATAAATTCATTCATTGCATTCATAACCATTCAAACCACATCGATCATTCAACCCATAGCAATTAAATTAAATAATTAAAAGACCCGCTCTTGCCTTATGGTTAAAGGCGGGCCACAAACCGAACCTAAAATACATTCTATCCAATTTAAATTCAATAAACCCTAAAAACCCAAAATCATGCATAATGAAATATTAACCTATTTGATTTGATTAAACCATAATCTGCCCATTATTAAATGTTTCTTGAATTATAAAAAGAAATTGAAAATTGAACATTATTTAATTACACGAAATTATTATTATTATTTTTTAAAAAGAACAAAATCATTTTCTGGAACCCTAGAACAGTCGCGTCACGCAACTGTTTCTATTGGAAAGAACAGATTGCGTGACGGATCTCCTTAGTTGCGTGAGCAGCTTGTTATGACTTTGGCAAAATTTTCAGATTCATTCAATCGTTTCATCAATCGTTTATTTAAATCATAATATTAAATAAGAAAATAAAAACGAGGTAAAAATTATAAACACGAACAGTTCCGTCACGCAACTAGTCAGGGTAATGTCAAGCTCTTTTGGACATGAACAGTTCCGTCACTTAGCTTGTAGCTGCGTGACGCAACTGCTCTGGTCCGCAACTACCTTTCAAACTACCTTTTTTACGTTCTCTTTTTATCAAAACTTGTTTAATATACCTCAAAAACGTCCAATAATAGGTAGAATATTATTCAACCAATATCAAACTACCCAAATACCAACAAAATAGATATTAACCAAAATAGATATTAACAAATTAATAACTAAGAAAATACTAAGAAAAGTTTAGATGATTACCTAACCCTCAGATTTGAGGATTGCACATGATCAAAATGCCTTAGGAATAATGTTTCAAGATCCCAGAAATGTTCTTTTTGCCAAGTCTTAATAAAAATCTCTCTTTTTTTCTTTTCTCTCTTTTCTTCTTTTTATGTCATTTTTTTTTGTTTTTCAATCTAGTTAATCTCTAAGGCTGATCTTCTTCAAGATAACTCAAAGGAGTTCTTGCAAAAAATCTCGCCGCAGTTCTTTTCTTAACCCTTAAAAATTTTTCTCCAAAATCTCAAAAGTCCCTTTTAAAAGATAAAAATGCAGTATTTATATGGGTAGGGCAACCTGCATCACAATCAACTAACAGTTGGGTGACGGACCCGAGAGCTTGCGCTTGACGCAGCTCAACTTTTTGGACCTTTGCCACGTTATCCAATTCAAAAAAGCAGAAAACCGTTATATGGGGTTTTTTCAAGGTGATGTCATCCTGGGTTAGAGTTTGCGTGACGCAAACTTATTTCGTGCCGTCCACGCACCTTATAGCTCGTGACGCCAACCCTAGCGCAGATCAGACTTCCTTGAATTGGTTTTAAATCGATTCTTGGTTTAAAGACTTCAACGTTGACAACCTGATCCTTATTCCGCGTCCCTTGTTAACCTCATCGGGTAGGTGGGGCATAAAAACACGCGTCAACACATTGGTCACTTCTAATCGCAAAGATGTTGTATCCTTTCATTCTTATTCTTTTGCATTGATGAAACTAAATATCATATGAACTAATTCCTTATTTCTAAGGAAGAGGTCCAAGCTGAATCTGGAGTAATCATCAACAATAACAAGTGGCATATGATTTACCTCCAAGGACTAGAAGTATCTAAACCCATCGCCCGTCCAGGGAGACAACAATGGATTGGGCCACATTCGGTGCCGGAGGCACCTTTCTTAACTTACATATAAATCATATTATCAGGTTATGAAAGAAGTGATTTAGTATTCACAAGTTTTAGCAAGTAATCAATTTTTTATTTGTTTTTTTTTTGGAAAATGATTTGGGAGAATCCTACAGAAAAACTGCCAAGAGTTTAACCTAAAAAATTGAACTCGCCCAAACATGTGAATACCAAAAAGCACTCCTAAAATTCAAACTCCAAAACCCCCATTCAAACTTCCCAGAACCAACACAACACAACCACGCTTTATATAACTTCATAACCAATGAATTCGTCATTAGCTTTAAAGTAATCCATCAAACTAAATGAATTTATTTATATATCAAGTCCTAATAATCCAACCATTGCCAACTATTTAGAAAAAAATAATTTATATCCAATCATTAAATAAGTCCCATGCTTAACTCCAAATATATATACCAAAATAATTTATAGCATCATGCTTAAGTTATATAACTCAAACAACATAATCTCCAAATAGATAATAATTATACATGTCATAATTGTTAATTACATAAAACTAAATCTACTACCAAAATAGTCTCTTCTGCTTTGATGCTACTCTTCTGGTCTTCCAGCAGCAACCACGGTCTTCAACCCGCACGTGATAAAAATCAACGCACTGAGTATAAAACTCAGTGGTCTCAAAAATCACATACTTACCTACGTTGCGATGGCAACATACTTGGAACATAAATTTCATAAAAAAAAAAGTTCACAATCACAAAATCATTTGCACAATCGACATGCATATACTTTTATAGCAAAGGAAATATCAACTAAACTTACAATTTGATATCATATATAACCTAGTCCTTTCATATCATATGTTCATTACTTTTGACATTTATTTTAATTTATTTTACAAATAAGCATGCTATTTATTTTAAACAATGTTACCAAATTATTCTCTCATGCTTTAAAGATTCATTTGATAACATAATAATTTATTCCTAAACTAAGATTAACTAAAATAATATAATCTCATTAATTTAATTTCCTTAAAAATGTTTTCTAAAGGGGCTTGCATACACTTAGAAGAAAATGAAGTAGATAAGATTTCACAAACTTATTCATAATGGCCTTATATGCCAACATAATTATAGGGCTTCAAGAGCCTATCATAACATATGGAGTGCCTCCGTTATAACATAAGGCACCCATGTGCCTAGCATATGATCATAGCTTCATATCATAATGGCATCAAATACCGAGCATGCTCATCTTACATAATAAATCAAATCACGAGCCCGTAACATTAAAATTCAACATTTCTCATAAAATTCATTTTCTTTAGGTCTTCTTAAAATCATATTATATGCTTGTTTAGAAACTCAAGTTAATTCACTAAAGTTTCATTGCTTAGCATAATGTCTTATTCATAGGGAAAAACTTTCAACTTATGTCTTATGTTAATCAAATATCTAAAAATTATCAAGAGAACTTCATCACACATGATTATACATACCTTTATTCAAATTTAACCTTATGATTCAAAGTTCATAGGGAAATTTCTCAATGCTATCTAGCATTTTCATCCAAACTTTCTCTCAACATATTATCCCAAACCTAAAACGCATTTTATCATTTTAAAGGTTATTTTATAATCCCAATAAGATTGAATTTCCTATGTTTATTGGCCTCAATTTCCTATGTTATGGCATAAGTAGGAAAAAGTCTCATATTTGATTTACTTAGGCAAATCAACTCTCTATTCATTCTAACATCATGCATTTAATCTTAGCAGCACATTCATAACATCATTTCACCTCTTTAAACCTTAACATGTCAAATCTCCAAATTTTAGCTTACTTTAGGCATGGAAAAATTATGAAAGACAAAAGATACAAGGTAGAAATTTCTACCACATGCTAAATACTCATCAAGCATCATTTTAAGAGTATAAACAAGCAAAGAAAACAAGAAAAATTTAAGGCCCTTTTTCCTTAGTAGGTTCAGCCTCTATTGGATAAAAAAGAGGAAAATGTTTTCCTCTTCAATCAAACATATAATCATGCATAGAAATCACCCAAGAGCAACATTTCATACAAAATTCTCAACTTTCACATAATAGCATAAATTCATAAAATTCAAAAATGGAAAGAGGAAAAGTCTATTTATGAACACCAACCTCTAAAAACTGCTTAGATTAAAGCCCTCTAAGCTTTAAATCTTAGCTTTTCCTTTGTCTTTGGTGGAGGATTCTCCAACCTCTACATAAATAGAAAATCAAAAATCAAAATCAAGAAAATAAATAAAAGAAGAATTGGAGCATGAATGAACATGGAAATATTGAAAGAGAATCAAAACCCAAAAATAACAAAGAAAATCATCAAAAAACTTACTTGGCTTAAGTAGAGTATCTCCAAATTTTCTTGAAAATAATCTCACCAAAAATCACTACCCAAGCTTAAATCTCCAAGATTAATTACTTATTTAAGGTTTAAAGGAGTGAAAATGGTGTGTTTAGTAAGTAGGAATTGAAGAAAAACAAAGAGAAGGAGAGGAAGAAGGTGACTCCTAAGAGGAGAAGAAAAAGAAGAAAAAGGTAAAGTGGTTGCTTAATGGACAAGCTTTGACTTATATAGTCAACAAGGGCATTGTAGTCATTTCGCACTACTTCCTCAAGAAGTGACATTTGGGTGGTTAAGATTAAGTCAATGGTACTCTAATCTAATGGCTAAAAATATTCTCCAATTAAATTCCTTCAAAATTTTATTTATCTCTATAAAATTCTTTAATTTACTCCACAAAAATAATTTCTCAAATTTTCTTAATTAATAAAACACCATAATTCACTATTCACCAATTATCTAAATTCTCCAAATAAATTCATTACTTACTTTATTAAATAAAATATAAAATATAATAGTAATTTTTTCGGACAAAAAATACTATTCACAGACCAGTAAACTACTATTTCAGACATAGAAAAACAGGGCGTTACAGCTCTCCCACCTTAAAGAATTTTGTCCTCGAAATTCACCTTAAATAAACAACTGAGGATGTTGTTGTCTCATAATGTCTCACTTTCCAAAGTAGCTTCCTCGGTCTTATGATTTCTCCAAAGGACCTTTACTAGAGGAATTATCTTATTCCTTAGTTCCTTAATCTCTCTAGCAAGTAGCCTCATTGGTTCCTCCTCATAACTCAAAGCCGGCTCTATAGTCACAGACTCAACTGATATCACATGTGATGGGTCAAATCGATACTTCCTCAACATAGACACATGGAAGACATTATGTATCCTATCCAGTGTTGGTGGTAAAGCTAGTATATAGGCCAACAGACCCACACGCTCAACGATCTTGTAAGGACCAATGAACCTAGGACTAAGCTTACCCTTTCTTCCAAATATCAATACCTTCTTCCATGGGGATACTTTAAGAAAAACCTTATCTCCCACTACATACTCTATATCTCTCCTCTTCAAGTCTGCATAATCTAATAATTCTAACTTTATCCTCTGTATCTCGAATCAAATCCAAACCTACCATCTTGTCCTCACTCAACTCTGACCAACATAGTGGAGTCCTACATCTCCTACCATACAGTGCTTCAAAAGGAGCCATCTGAATGTTCAACTAATAACTGTTATTTTAGGCAAATTCCACAAGTCGAATGTACTTCTCCCAACCACCCTTAAACTCAATGACACAAGCTCTCAACATATCCTCCAGAGTCTGAATAACCCATTCTGACTTACCATCTATCTGAGGATGAAAAGCTGTAAGCTGTGCTGAAATTCAACTTAGTACCCAGGGCCTCATGTAGCTTCTTCCAAAATCTAGAAGTAAATCTCGGATCTCTATCTGAAATGATGAAAGAGGGAACCCCATGCAATCTCACTGTCTCATCTATATAAAGCTGTGCATACTACTCCATGGTGGAGTCAGTCTTAACAGGAAGAAAGTGCGCTGACTTAGTTAATCTGTCAACTATCACCCATATAGTGTCTTTCTTTTTAGGAGTCAAAGGCAATCCAATCACAAAATTCCTAGTAACCTTATCCCATTTCCACTCTGGAATAGAAGTAGGGTGTAGCAAACCAGAAGGAAACTGATGCTCTGCTTTAACTTGTTGACACGTCAAACATAACTTGTTGACACGTCAAACATCTCGACACATAATCTGTGATATCCCTCTTCATAGCCGACAACCAATATTGTGATTTCAAATCCTGATACATCTTATTACCGCAGGATGTATAGAATAAGGACTACTATGAGCTTCCTCTAAGATACTCTTCCTTAACTTTGAAATCTTAGCCACACAAATTTGATCCTCAAAGTACAAGTAGTCATCATCTCAAATCACAAACCTCTTTTTCTTACCATCTCTAACTAGGCCTTTCCTAAAAGCAATTGTCTCATCATCTCTCTATGCATCTTGAATCTACTGAAGTAGGCTAGGTCTAACCATAAGCTCTTCCACAAGTGCACCATTACTAGCCATAGATAATCGAGTGTTCATAACACGTAAAGTAACCAAGGAATTTTTACTAAGTGCACCTGCGACCACATTAACTTTACCCGGATGGTAATCAATGGTGAAGTCGTAGTCCTTGAGAAGCTCTACCCATCTGCACTGTCTCAAATTAAGCTCCTTTTGAGTAAGCAAATCTTGAGACTCTTATGATCCGTATACAGATGACACTTCTCACCATACAAGTAATGCCTCCAAATCTTCAAAGCAAAGACTATATCTGCTAACTCCAAATCATGAGTAGAGTAGTTCCTCTCATGAGGCTTAAGCTATCTAGAAGCATAGGTAACTACCTTACCCTCCTGCATAAGTACACAACCCAATCCATTATGCGAAGCATCACTATACACATCATACGGTCTACCTGAAACTAGTTGTGTCAACAATGGAGTGTCAGTAAGCATTGCCTTAAGCTTCTTAAAACTACTCTGACATTCATCAGTCCACTCGAATCTGACATCCTTTCGAAGTAGTCTAGTCAATGGGGCCATAATGAGAGAAAATCCCTTGACAAATCTTCTACAATAACCAGCCAATCCTAAGAAACTACGAATTTCTATAACATTCTTAGATGGCTTCCATTCAAGTACTACCTTAATCTTCTTCGGATCAACTCTATTACCATCAGCAGAATGATATGACCTAAGAAGGCAATCTCAGATAACCAAAATTCACACTTACTCAATATAGCATACAACTTCCTCTCTCTCAATATCTGAAGTACAATCCTCAAATGGTGATCATGATCCTCTCTAGTCCGAGAATATACCAAGATGTCATCGATGAATCATGATCTCTCTCTAGTCCCGAGATGATCCTCTCTAGTCCGAGAATATACCAAGATGTCATCGATGAATACAACCATAAACTATCTAAGTAAGGATGAAAGATCCGGTTCATCAAATCCATGAAGACTGCAGGAGCATTAGTCAAACCAAATGGCATCACCAAGAACTCATAATGACCATAACATATCCTGAAAGTAGTCTTAGGTACATCTGATTCCTTAAGCCCCCAGCTGATGATAACCCGATCTCAGATTTATCTTCGATAACACGCTAACTCCTCTTGACTGATTAAACAAATCATCTATCCGAGGCAATGGATATCGGTTCTTCACAGTAACTTTGTTAAGTTGTCTGTAGTCAATACACAATCTCAGGGATCCATTCTTCTTCTTTACAAACAACACTGGAGCACCCCACGGAGATACACTAGGACGAATGAAACCCTTATCAAAAAACTCCTGAATCTGAATCTTCAACTCTCTCAACTCAGTAGGTGCCATCCGATATGGGGCAATGGATATCAGCGCGGTACCAAGCATAATCTTAATACCAAACTCAACCTCTCTCTCAAGAGGTAAACCATGCAACTCCTCGAGAAATACATTCAAAAAATCACATACTGTAGGTATATCACGTACATTAGGAGATTTTGACTCTGGATCAAGTATACACGCTAAGAATACCTCACAACCATGCTGGATCAATCTTCTAGCAGTAGAAGCAAAAATAATATTAGAGAGGCTAAGAATACCTCACAACCATGCTGGATCAATCTTCTAGCAGTAGAAGCAAAAATAATATTAGAGAGGTAATCCAACCTCTCACCCACAACTATGATCTCCTCACCAGATGAAGTCTGGAGTGTAATCCTCTTAAGTCTACAATCAACTATAACTCCATGTCTAAATAACCAATTCATACCCAAAATCACATCAAACTCTCGGAAAGGCAACTCTATCATATCTCCCAGAAACACATAGCCATGAATTACAAATGGAAAATCCTTATACACCCGATTAACTACCACACTATGACCCAAGGGATCAGTGACCTCAATACTATGCTCTAACATGTCAGCATGCATATTACCTAGTCTACCCACATGTATGCACAAATATGAATGCATAGAGCCAGGATCAATCAAAGCATGTACAAGGGTGTCAAAGATAGAGAATGTACCGACTATGACATCTGGGGCATCCTGCTCCTCCCTAGTCCTGGTGGCATAAGCTCTGGCAGGAGCTCTGGACTCAAGTCTGTCTACTGTCTCAAAAGTTGGTCTCTGACTCCTAGAGTCTACTGTATCACCACGGCCTCTTCCTCTACCTCTCAGAACAAAGGGAGTTGACCTCCCAGTCTGTGGAGCTGAATCAATCTTAGCCATAGGACAATCTCGTATCATATGCTCTGTAGACCCATATCGAAAGCATGCCCTCGAAAACCTCCTACAAAACCCCAACATGCCTCCTACCACACTGAGTACATGCCGTTATATCAGTCCTGCAGTATCTCCACCACTAGCAATAGATGTAGTCTGTGGAGCTAATCTAACATAAGTACCCTGACCATGCCTCTGACCTTATCTAAACCTAGACTGGTGTGCACCTCTGTGTCTCATACTGCCTGACTGAACCCTAGAAGTCTGACCAGACACTGCTCCCTGAAACCTCTTCTGCTGACCCTGCTGACCTCGCTGTCTCCTGGCCTGCTGCTTAGTCTGAACCTCCTCAAGCTCTAGAGCAGCCTTCAATAGGGAAGACAATGAAGTGTGGGGATGAGCAACCAAATGCATCCTGTACTCATCATGCAAGCCTTTCCTGAAGCGCTTGCACCTATCCAACTCAGAAGGAATCAAATCAGCGGCATACCTACTCAGTCGAATAAACTCTCGCTCATACTCTGACATAGTCATCCTGCCTTGCTTAAGTTCCAGAAAATCTAGCTTACATTGATCAATAAAAAGCTCTCCAATATACTTCTATCTAAACTCAGAAAGGAAGAAATCCCAGGTCCTCTCCTCGGCACTGACTGCCTGAGACACAGTCCCCCACCACTGATAAGCCTCTTCCTTCAACAAGGAAGTGTCACACACTAAACTGTCCTGAGGGGAACATAGCTTCTGCTCTAATATCCTCTCCAAAGACCAAAACCAATACTCCACTACAAAAGCCATGTCATCTTTTCTACCCATGAACTCAACAGCACCACAATTCCTCAATTTCTCTATAGGGGGACGACCTGGAATGGGGGCTGGAGAGACCAGAACCAAGGGAACAGCTCCCGCTACCTACCTCAAAGCAGCAACTAACTGCTGAACAAGTACATCCTGATTAGGCCCCGCAGGACCTGCAGTAGCCTACCCCACCCTAGAGGCGTGCTCCGTATCAGAACCCAAGACTCCACCAGTGGCACCACCATCAAGAATATCGCCACCAGGAGGGGCATAACTATCCACCTTCTCATCAAAAAGGTGATGAGACATCACTCGACTCCTACAAAGACCAAAAGCTTTGCATCAGAGAGAAATTCCAAAACAGACCAATATGGCATATATTTAACTTAAATTACTTATACGCTCACTTCAAAGCAAATAAATATACTCCTAGAACTGCCAAAACCTATGCTTTGATACCACTAAATGTAACACCCACCGCCGGGTCCCAACAGACCAAACAACAGATGCCACATTTGGTGCCGGAGGCACCTTCCTAACTCACATATAAATCATATTATCAGGTTATGAATTAGAAGTGATTTAGTATTCACAAGTTTAGCAAGTAATCATTTTTTATTTGTTTTTTTGAAAATGATTTGTTTTTATTTGTTTTTTTGAGAAAATGATTTGGGGAGAATCCTAACAGAAAACTGCAAGAGTTTTTCCCCTAAAATTGAACTCACCTAAACATTGAAATACCAAACCACTTTCCCTAAATTCAACTCAAACCCCGCATCAAACTCCCAATACCAACACAACACAACCACTACTTCTATAACTCATCATACCTTGTAAATTCCTCATTTAGCAATTAATAATTCATCAAACTAATGAATTTATTTAAATATATCAAGTCTAATATCCAACCATGCCAACTAATTTAGGAAAATAATTTATTAATTTAGAAAATAATTTATATCCAATCATTAAATAAGTCCCATGCTTAACTCCAAATATAATTTATAGCATCATGCTTAAGTTATATAACTCGAAAAACATAATCTCCAAACAGATAAAATAATTATACATGTCATAATTCTTAATTCCATAAAACTAAATCTAATACCAAAATAGTCTCTTCTGCTCTGATGCTACTCTTCTAGTCTTCGAGCAGCAACCACGGTCTTCAACCCACGCGTGATAAAAATCAGCGCGCTGAGTAAAAACTCAGTGGTCTCATAAATCACATACTTACCAACGTTGCGATGGCAACATACTTAGAACATAAATTTCATAAGAAAAAAGTTCACAATCATAAAATCATTTGAACAATCGACATGCATATACTTTTATAGCAAAGGAAATATTAACTAAACTTACAATTTGATAATATATATAACCTCATCCTTTCATATCATATGTTCATTACTTTTGACATTTATTTTACCAATAAGCATGCTATTTATTTTAAAACCATATACCAAATTATCATGCTTTAAATGAATTCATTTGATAACAATCATTTATTCCTAAAACTAAGATTAAACAAAATAATATAATCTCATAAATTTAATTCCTTTAAAAATATTTTCTAAAGGGGGCTCGCATACACTCTAGAAAAAAATTAAAGCAAGATTAAGAATTTTATAAACCTATATCATATGGCCTTATATTGCGCAACCATTAATCATAGGGCTTCAAGGAGCCTATCATGAACATATGGAGCTTGTTCGCAGTATAACATAAGGCACCCACGTGGCCTAGCATATGATCATAGGCTTCATATCATAATAACATCAAATGCCAAGGCTGCTCATCTTACATAATAAATCAAACTCAACATCAAATCACAATCAGTATATTAGAGCCCAAAAACATATCTTTATGTCTTTTTAATCATAAACATTTCTCATGTAAAATTCAATCTTTTTTAGTCTTGCTTTAAAATCTATTATAATGGCTTTAGTTTAGAAACTCAAGTAATTCACTAAGTTTCATGCTTAAGCATAATATCTTACCAATAATAGAACACTTTTTCAAAACTTATGTTTCTTATATTCATCAAATAATCCTAAAACATACAAAGTAATCAACGAGGGAGAACTTTTCATCACACCATGATTCATACATAACATTATCCAAATAAACCTATGTTCAAGTCATTAGGAAATTTCTCATTTCTCAAGGTATAGCATTGCATTTCCATTCCACTTCTCAGCACATTTATATTATTTACCATCAAACAAAAGCATTTATTCATCTTAAAGTATGTTATAATCCCAAAAGATGACTTTTTTCTATTTTATGGCATAAGCTTAGGAAAAAAGTCTCCATATTTGATGTTACTTAGGCGCAAATCAAACTCTCTGATTCATGTCTAACATCATGCATTTAATATTCATTCTAACATCATGCATTTAATCTTAGTAGCACATACATAACATCATTTCTCCTCTTTAGACCTTAACATGTCAAATCCCCAAATTTTAGCTAACTTTAGTCATGAAAAAATTATGAAATATAAAAGATACAAGGTAGAAATTTCTATCACATGCAAAATTCTCATCAAGCATCATTTTAAGAGCATAAATAAGCAAAGAAAACAAGAAAACCTTAAGGCCATTTTGCCTTAGTAGGTTCGGCCTCTCTTGGATGGAGAAGAGGAAAATATTTTCCTTTTCAATCAAACATATAGTCATGCTTAGAAATCACCCAAGAGCATATTTATTAAATCAAAATTCAACAATTCAAACATTTCATACAAAATTCTCAACTTTCACAACATTTCATACAAAATTCTCAACTTTCACGTAATAGCATAAATTCTCGAAATTCAAAAATGGAAAGAGAAAAAGTGTATTTATGAACACTAACCTTTAAAACAAGCTTAGATTAAAGCCCTCTAAGCTTTAAACCTTAGCTTTCCTCTTGTCTTTGGTGGAGCGTTCTCCAACCTCTGCATAAATAGAAAATCAAAAATCAAAATCAAGAAAATAAATAAAAGAAAACATGGAAATGCTAAAAGAGAAATCAAAACCCAAAAATAAGAAAGAAAATCATCAAAATACTAACTTGGCTTAAGTAGAAAATCTCCAACTTTTCTTGAAAATAATCACCAAAAATCACTAGCCAAGCTTAAATCTCCAAAATTAATTACTTATATAAGGTTTAATGGAGTGAAAATGGTGTGTTTAGTAAGTAGGAATTGAAGAAAAATAAAGAGAAAGAGAGGAAAAAGGTGACGCCTAAGAGGAGAAGAAGAAGAAGAAAAAGGCCTAAGAGGAGAAGAAGAAGAAGAAAAAGGTAAAGTGGTTGCTCAATGGATAAGCTTTGACTTATATAGTCAATAAGGGCATTTTAGTCATTTCCCACTACCTCCTTAAGAAGGGACATTTGGGTGGTTAAGATTAAGTCAATGGTACTCTAATCTAATGGCTCCAATTAAATTCCTTCAAAATATTATTTATCTCTACAAAATTCTTTAATTTACTTTATAAAAATAATTTCTCCAATTTCCTTCACTAATAAAACACCATAATTCACTATTCACCAATTATCTAAATTCTCCAAATAAATTCATTACTTGCTTTCTATCCATAAAAACCATGTGTGCATGCTCAAAGAATATTAAATAAAATATAAAATATAAATAGTAATTTTTTTGGATCAAAATAATACCGATTCCTAGACCAGTGATACTATTCACAGACCAGTAAACTACTATTTCAGACACAGAAAAATAGAGCATTACAAGAAGGAGTAACAGGTCCACATAAATCAAAGTATAACAATTCTAAAGGTCTAGAAGTAGAAACCATGCCCTTAGATATGCAAAATGTTCTAGTTTGTTTGCCCAATTGACAAGCATCACAAATATGATCTTTTTCAAACTTTAGCTTCGGCAAACCACGAACCAAGTCTTTCTTAGACAGTTTAGAAATAAGGGGCACGCTTGCATGTCCAAGTCTTCTATGACATAACCAACTAGAATTATCAACAGAAACTAAGCATATATCTAGGTTATGCATATCAGAAAGGTCTACTAGGTATATGTTCCGAAACCTTTTTCCAACAAATAAAGTTTTGTTATCATGCATGTTCTGATCATTGCATGTTCTGAATTTTCAAAATCAGAGGGGTTCAAGATCACTCTACTATTTTTACTTCTATTTTTATCACAAATCTAACTTACACTTAATAAGTTATAATGTAATCCTTCTACTAAGCATACATCTTCTATTGAAGGATTAGAACCTGCCATGCCAATACCAACAATTCTACCTTTTGCTTTGTCTCCAAAGCTCACTGTACCTCCCTTTTTCTTTTCTAATCTAGTGAATTTCTTTCTATCACTAGCATATGCCTAGAGCAAGCGCTGTCCATGTACTACATTTCTCTTTTCAGCTCACTTCTTAGGCACACCTAGAAAGAGCATGTAGATTTAGTACCCAACTTGTATTGAGTCCTTCAGGGTAAGTGGTAATAGGTGTAGATCCTTTTACATTTATCTTACTGTGATTTTTCTTTCTGTTGAGACTACTAGATTTTTCAAAGTACTTTTGATGTTCTAAAGTCACAACATTAGAAATAGCATTTTTATTAATAGAATCTTGATATTGTCTTGAAGTACTATTATAGCTAGAACTTGTCTTTTGTTTAGAAAATGATTCTGATATTGACTTTAGAATTCCAATCTCAGTTTTCGAAGATTCATTCTTAGAATTTAGGTTTTTACATTTTTCTTCAAAGTG